AAAAAAAAAAAAGAAAAATAATAAGTTTTGACAAGAATGTAGAGAAATTGGAACTCCTATACATTGTTGGTGGGAATGTACCAAATAGTTCATTGGTCCCTTAAAAAGTTAAACATAGAATTAGAACATGGGTAGCAATTCCACATCTAGATATATACCCCAAAGAATTGAAAATGAGGGCTCAAACTTACAGTTGTATGCTGTACAACTTGTTCTTTATTCTATAGCCAAAAGGTGGAAACAACTCAAGTGTTAAACTGATAAACTGATAAACAAAATGTGGTATGTACACACAATAGAACATTATTCAGCCATAAAAAGCAATAGAGGACTGATACAGGCTAAGAAAATGGTTGAACCCTGAAACCATTACGCTAAGTGAAAGAAGACAGGCACAAGGGACAAATATTGTATGATTGCACTTACAAGAAATATCTAGAATAGGCAAAACATAGAGACAGAAAGTAGAGAGGCTACCAGGAGTTGGGGGGTTACCAGCGGAATCAGGAGTTATTGCTTAGCAGATGCAGAGTTTCTTTCTGGGGTGATAAAAAAGCTTTGGAAACAGATGGTTTAGAATGATGATTAGTTTAATTATATTAAATGTAATTAATGTCACTGAACTGTACAATTAAAAATGATTCAAATGGTGGAAAAAAATGCTGCCAGAGGTTAAGTTGAGGGCTGTCTTATCAAGAAAGCCATGAAGCAGCTGCCATTCACTTTGCTTATATCAGAAAAGTCACCTATTCTGTCACTCAATGGCCAACAATTATACGCTACTTACACTGTATTCTATAGAGCATACCTTCATGCTGCCCAGGTGACTGTGCCATTCTGCTCCACGCATTACGCCTCCTGGGATATTCTCATCTACAAAAGCATTGAGAGACAGAGGCTCAACAAGACCTTAAGGTAAGACACCCTCGGTCCCTGAAAGCACCAACAAGAACAAAGGGTATGGAAAATACTTACCTGATTTATTTGGGCAACTGGGCTGACCCATGTGCATGGATGGATGATTATTTGCATAAAGAGATGCCAAATGCTTCAGAGTTTCTTTGTTTTCCACTATAAAAAGAAAAATTCAGAAGTTGGAGAAATCCAAAAAATCTTACTCCAAGTTCAACTTCATGGATATAAAAGTCATCTTTCTCTCCTTCTAGTTAATCTTAAACCCCACTGAAGTGCATTGAGGAATTATTATAATTAATCACATAGTTCTGTTGAGCCCAGGACAATCAGACTAAGAAGATACACATCTTCCTTGTATTAGAAGGTACTAATGGTTAGTTTACACAACAGGACACCACACTAAAATACAAACTTGCTTGGTATGTTTTCTTACATTTAGGACAATGAAGGCCTAATAACAATATTCCTTATAGGCTGCATTTAAACAACAAAAACTACCTCCATATACGATGGCCCCAGAGAGATTCAAGAAGCAATTGTTAAACTCATCTAAGTGCAACCAAGTCACGGGGTGCCTGCATGGCTCAGTAGGTTAAGCATCTGACTTCAGCTCAGGTCATGATCTCACGGTTTGTAAGTTTGAGCCCCGTGTCAGGTTCTGTGCTGACAGCTCAGAGCCTGGAGCCTGCTTTGGATTCTGTCTCTGTTTCTCTCTCTCTCTCTCTCTCTCTCTCTCTCTCTCTCTCTCTGCCCCTCCCCCACCCATGCTCTGTCTCTCTCTCTCTCAAGAATAAATAAACATTAAAAAAATTTTTTTTGTTTTAAATGCAAGCAAGTCAGTCAAGGTTTAAAGCAGGGAAGGGCGATTCTGTATTGCTAATTTTTTTTTTATTAATTTGTTTTATTTTTTATTTTTTTAGATTTACATCCAAATTAGTTAGCATATAGTGCAACAATGATTTCAGGAGTA